CGTCGGCCACAAGGCGCAGCAAAGTGCCTTTCTCGAGCTGCTCGCCGGTTTCGGGCAAGTATTTAACCTGTTGCACGGCTTGAAGCATGGCAATGGCGTGCTGAACCAGAGGGCTTTTGAGAACCTCAGTCATGGCACTAGCCAAAACGTCAACAAAGTCGTCTCCGGGGGTCATGGCAAGGCCAAGGCGCAGGTCCTTGGACAGGAGGGGGGATTTGAGGTAAGCGTTCCAGGCCGCGGGGCCAATGACGACGAGACGATCCTTCCCAATGGCCGACTGCAGCTGTTCGACGAGGCGAGGCAGGAGAATGTAAGTAGTGCGGTCGAGGTGAAAAAGGTAGGGCGAGCCCGAGCCATCCCAGCGCTTAGGGAGTTCGACGGCAGCAGGCAGCGGGGTACTGCCGAGCTTGGCAGAAACGCGCTTCACGTCGTTGATGATGCCCTGCAATGTCTCAATGATGCCACCGGCGGCATCATGGGGAGGCACGGTGGCGGCCGAGTGAATGGAGTGCACCGAGTGTAGGTCAGCAGTATGGTGGGAAGCCTGGGAGGGGAGGGAGCTGTTGGAGATGTTGCGTTCGAGGGCGCGAGCATGCTTGGTGACCCGGCGAAGGTGGGCGTCCTGGTTGAAGAGCTGTTGCTGGCTGATGGAGAGCTGTTGGTGCATTTGTAAGCGCTGGCTTTCGGCGGCCTTGTACGCCTGGTCAAGCTGAAGGAGCTGGAGGGACAGGTGGCGGTTGCGTTCCTGAAGTTCGGTGGAGGTGTGGAGGTGTACGCGTTTCAGGTTCTCTATGGCGGCATGGGCTTGGTCCAATTGTTGGCGGTAGACGCGAATCTGGCTATCGACGCCGCTGGAGCTAACGGCGAGGAGCTTGTTCTTGGAGTTGAGTTCGTCTACCAGTTGATTGCGGTCCTCGTTTTGGCGGGCAAGGACGTCTTCGAGCTGAGAACAACGCTGCACAAGCTTTTTTGTGAGCTTTTTGTGTTCTTGCTGCACCTTGTGCAGAGAGTTGCGCAGGCGCTCGGCAGCATCTTCGGCAGCGGTCTTCTCTTCCCGGGCTTGCGCCAGTTCGCGCTCGAGTTGTGCGATTCGCTCTTCTGGAGTGCGGGGTTTGGCGTGGGCCTGCGGATTGAGGTTGGACTCGGCGGCGATTGGCTCGGGCAGGTCAATCTTGGGGTTGGACGGGGCTTGTTGACCAGTTTGCGAGGTTCCGTTGCCACTGTCTAGGCTGGCATGGTTGTGGTGATGGGCATGGCCATGGTCGTTGTTGTTGTGGGTGTTACGACGTGGTGAGGCGGGGGCGGCGGTGGATGGGGCGTCTTCATAGTCACCAACGGCCGAGTTGACGCTGGACCGGCGTTTGCGGTAGTGTTTGCGTTTGTCGGCTCC